TGGACAGCCTCTTAAAACTATACAAAAGCAATAAATAGAATAATGATCCTTGATTAATTGATATTTAATAGAATTAAATTATTATTTATAAACAATGTATTTTTTCCCACTTTGTCCCTGTTTAATTGTTGTTACTATTAAGGCTGTTATATAACATGAAAATTTGCATAATTCTGTTGTGGGGAAGCATTTCTAAATATAGAATGTTTGGTCAGACAGGGGAGATGATATAGATCAATGAAAATAGAGAGACAGGGATACCGATTAACGCTTTGCAATGCCTATTTTTGTATTGTTGCATGGATATTTAAATAGCTTGTGGAACTATTCTGGACAGATTTTATTTATAATCGGGATAATTGTGCTTTTCTAACTTGATTCTGTGACTGGACTGTGGGACGCCATGGGACCTAAGCGTACAAGATCAGTGCCCTACAGTTATAATCCTTATTTACCGGAAAATTGGACTTCCGCACAATTGCAGGATTCTTTAAAATCTCACGGGATCGCTTTCCCAGCCAATGCGCGTAGATCAGTAATGATTCGTTTGTATTCAGACAGTGTAACAAGTGCGCAATCCCATAATGCAACAGGACAGCTTAACAGAGGCAGCGACCCCTCCATCAATGCTCCGTGATCCCACAATGCAATGGACCAAAACAGCAAAGGCGGCGACCGTCAAAACAACGCGCTGGTGGACATAGTTTCCAAGTTAACCTCAACGGTGCAGTCGTTACAACAAAATGTCATAAATCTTACATCAAATGTTAATTAACTGACTCTGGGAGCTGGTTTACAGACGAGTGCGAATGCTGTTAGTAATGCCCAGAGTAAACTTGGCCAAGAAAGAACGTCCGCGACTACTACTACTAGTTCCTCGACCCCGGGGAACAACTTTACGTTAGACACAGCTTTTGTCCGCATTTCGGCATCAGCGACCGGCTCAGCGGAACAAATGACGGAACTCCGGAGAACCCGCTTTGGATTTTCGGCTGAGTCCCCATCTTTTCAAGCCACGGTCCGGAGTGCGCATATATAGCTCTCTCCTACCCGTGGCTGCTTTATCACAAAAAGTGTCGTAATCTTGAATATTTACGCCTCTCTATTGTGATGTCATATTCAGTCAGTGGCAAGTTTTGTTTCCATCGCAATCGAAATCAACAACTGACGTGAACAGTATACAAGAAATATTTCCTGTACTGCGATTGGACATTGAAAGGTCGCCATAAAGTTAATCATCCGACTATGCTTTACTCGCATTAGTCAATATTTTAATGAGCTACGAAGAATTCTCTCCTCGTTCAACCACGGCCAGATGGGAGAGGAGCGTACATTTTGGCGGTGGTTTGCGACGATGCAGAGTCCCTTCCTTTGGTGGAAACGATTTCGCCGCAACTTCGTCAACAAATCACAGCAGGTAAGGACGTCAATTTAGCGTCACTGTTGATTCCTTACTACTCACCTCCCAATGAAAAAAGTGGAAAATAAGAAGCCTGATAAAAGAGAAGACAAGAGCTAGATTTATACGATCGGGATATCATTGATATGGCTACCCTATATCCAGGAAAGTGATTCTATGAGTACCATCGACAATTTAGCCTCATGGCCGCATCCCACCTGAAATACAACATACTACTGGACTGGTCAGTCCGAAATAACGCACTTTTCTGTAACCTGTTTGCAAACACAAAAGCCTAAACCTGTGCCACATGCAATAGCACACTGCATTTATTGGATTTTGTCCGTTAAATGGTTCTGCTAGAGATCAGAGACATTGAGACATGGACTCTTATGGAAGGAGAAGGCAATTAGAACATTCAAAACAGAACTGCCTTACCCAAAAAACTTGAATGCCCCACAGGGCTGGGGCTCACAATCCACAGAAGATGCAAGAGAAAGCTACTGTGCCGTTTTCGTATTGCATATTTTATTTCGATCGGGTTCGATATTTTGTTTATACTAATTATGGCAGCCATGCGGTTTGCCTGGCGTTTTGGCTGTTAAAGTTTGGCGTAGTTGGCCTCCCTAAGGAGTAAGTTTTGTATCGTTTTGCCTGAATTTATATCTAACTTCATCTTTGTATCTAATAGTATTATGCATAATTACCTATTATGTTTAAATTCTGTAATTACAATGTTTTGTGTAAACGCGCATTTTGGTCTGCAATAGGCATAGGACTGTTTAGCTCACGTGTTAAAGTAACACTTCTAATTTTGTATAATTGTCTCTCGATTTTGATATTGTGTCAACTTCTTATTGTGCGTTTGTACTTTGTAGTTTTTCACCCTCTCACGAGGTGTATCCAATAAACAGTACAGTAAAAAATCCTGAATCCTTGGCCATTTATGGAGCTGCGCCAAAATAGAATAATGACGAATCAAGGATCTTACCAGTTTGAAGAAAATGTTTTAAGCTTTACGTCAAAGCTATCCATGATAAAAAGAGACATTGATGGATTATTTCGAGTCAGCACGTGGTGTGGAGCTCGCACAGACTCAGCAGATTATTGACAGTTTTAGAAAACATTTGGAAAACTATGAAGTTCTAAGTAATAGTTATGAAGCGTTTTTGAAAGGTCACAGGACTGCAGAAAGTGCGAATGAACAGTCTTCACACAAAATAATTCGAGCATCCTTACGTGCCAAGACCAGTGCATTTATCGAACAGCTACAGTCCGCACTGCCGAAGATGGAGTATCAAGGCTTCGTCATTAGTTCCCTCGCACATATCGGGAAGATCAAGATCAAGTCACCTCACCGCTGTTTTGGATGCAACATTCTGCAAATGTTGAGAAGCAAGGCTCGTTTGAAGTATGCAGCTGAGGAGGCCGAGCTAATTAGACAAGAAGCTGCTCTGAAAGCCAGTAGGAACCTTTTGAACGTGAAGCGTGAGCTTGAAGAAGCGGAATCTGGACAAAGGTGCAATTCGTCAAGTGTTAGACTTTTCTCATGCAAGCTCACGGTCTATGGAGATTGATCATGGCAGATATAAACCTTCTTTGTCATCCAAGCTCCATGTGCTTCGTTACATGCAGGATAACAAAAATGATCGCACCCCTCCTCCGGAAGTTGGCTGAAGTGAATCTTCTTGCGTTTAATAACAACAAACCTTCCACCCAGGAAGCAAGGCAAACCACACCATCCTTGTGTGCTCCAGAAAGTAAGATAAATGAACTGAATCCAACTGCTGTTCCGTTAACCCCTAAGCAAACTTTAACTGAAGCTGCCACTTGGCAAAATTAGTTGCTAAGAACCAGTTACTGCCTAGGAGACTCTGGAACTTTAATGATGATCCGGGAAAATACCTTACTTGGAAGTACAGTTTCATGAATGTAATGAATGAAATCAGTGCAACAACACTCGAACACTTGGACTTGTTAGTGAATCATCTCGGACCAGAATCTAGAATTCAAGCTGAGAATATCCGAGCTACAAATTCACGGAACCCAGAGAAAGCTGTCAAGGATATATTGGAACGCTTGGATCGTGAATATGGGAGTGCAGAAACTATTGAACTGTCACTTAAGGACAGACGAGACGTTCCTCAATAATAGATAACTTTTTCCAAGATTTTTTCATTGAAGAATTACTACTTTAACATGTTTACTCACAAAAAATTGAGGTACCTTACCAGGCATTTGTGCAAGATACCAGAGGATGGCATTTCTTATATAATCCTTTAGGGAAAAAAACTTAGTTTGTAAAATTCATATTTTTTAGCGTTTCTTCTCTTTATAAACAATTATAAAACTGGTTTAGAAATCAGAAAGAAATTAAAATTTTGTATATTTTTCATACATTATGAAGATAAACAAAACAGATATTTGGCGAACGTCTCGTCTTTTCTTAAGAAGCGCATAAACAATTTTGTGACTTTCACAGATGGTGATCGAAAGAAATTCCTTGACTTGTCCGATCTAGCAGCAGATGTAGAATCAGTGAAATGTGATCCTGCGTTTAGCACTGCATTTCATATATACACGTCCAGTGGCATCAACGAGTTTGAACATAAACTGCCAAAGCGTTTCCGGAAAAGTGGGCTTCAGAATGTGACAGATACAAGATGAACAATTGTGTCTCACAAGTACCATTCTCTGTGTTTACAAAATTCCTAAGAGATCTCGCGCGTGTGCATAATGATCCCAGTCATCTGTTTGATACTTCCTCTCCTGGCCATGGAAACTCACAGACAGCTCATCAGAGGTACAAGACTGGACTACGTAACCCTTATCGTCAAACAACTGTGTCTACTAAGAAGACAGATGTTACAACAGATTTGAATTCTAACATTGTAAATGTGAGTTGCCACATTCATGGAACCAATTACAAGTCATGCGCTTAAAGACTATGAAATTCCGCGGAAAACATTAAAGGAACGCAAGGATTACCTTTCAAAAATGGTTATGTTTGAAGTGTTGTGGTCCGAGGCGTCATCTTCGGAAAAACTGTAGAGAACCTGTGAAATGTGACACTTGTGATTCTACAGATCCGTTAAATCTTCATCCTGAGCCTGGAGTGAGTCACGAGGGGGAGCAACCTGATCAAACCATGAAGGGAGAAATTCCAGCTAAGTACATACTGTACTAAAGTATGTGGCACTCAATACAGCACCAGCAAGTCGTGTGCAAAAATCTTACCTGTGTATGTGTACCCTGTTGGCGAGGAGTATCGTTCACGCAAGGTGTATTGCATGATAGACGACTAGAGTAACAAATCGTTGGCCACATCAGCCTTCTTTTACGCCTTTGGAGAGTGTGGTATAGAGACTGAATATGTTCTTTCTTCGTGTTCAGGGAAATCTGTTTCGTCAGGACGCAGGGCATCCGGATACGTTGTTAAGTCAGTTGTACTTTTAGTTTGCCCTGTGTGATAATGTAATGACATTCCAAACAACCGGCATGAAATACCGTCTCCAGCAGTGGCAGATAACTACACACACCTTAAAGACATTGCACCCTTCATACCAGATGTTGATGACATCTGGTCCTGGTGGACTTTCTGATGACTGTCCATGTGTTCAGCAACAGTCCTTCGCCGGCCTTCGCAACATTTGGTCTTAGGAAAATAGTCGAGGGATTGTCAGAAGATATAAGGGATTTGGTTTGTAACAACTTCTACGTTGATGATGGTCTTTTGTCCAGTACAACAGAAGAGAAGGCCATAAGTTTTGTGCATTGGACCAAGAAAGATTTACAAGATGGTGGAAGCATTCGACTCCACAAATTTTCCTCCAACAGTAGGAAAGTATTAGATTCATTCGCCCCAGATGACCTGGCAAAGAACTTCAAAAACCTTGGCTTTGGATCAACTACCCTCCCAATACAACGAAGTTTGGGATTGTTATGTCACACAGAAATGGATGAATTTACCTTTAGAGTTAACCCAGTGGAGAAAGCGTACACAAGACGTGGACTGTTATCTACCATAAACAGTGTGTATGACCCAATTATTCGATCAGCCCGTCGTCATCAGAGGGAAGCTATTGTTACGCAAAATGATGTTCGTAACAACGAATACAGACTGGGATGAGCCGTTACCCGCATTTCTGCATGACGAGTGGTCATCGTGGGTCGATTCTCTGAGTCAACTGGAAAACTTTTGTGTGCCAAGGAGTTACAATAGTTCATTCGTAAACTCAACCAGACGTGAGGTTCTTACATTTTGTGATGCGTCAAAAGACATTACTGCTGCAGTGGCGTATCTCAAACTTCAGTACAAAGACATGTTTAGTACCAATTTCCTGCTCGGGAAGGCCAAGGTTGCCCCAGTCCATGGGCATACTATTCCACGGCTTGAGCTGTGTGCGGCCGTATTAGCTACAGAAATTGCCGAGTTTGTGAGAGATCAGCTGAACATTCCATCGCAGGACTTTCGTTTCTTCTCAGACAGTCAGATAGTACTTGGCTATATCTCGAATGAAAGTCGCAGATTCTGTTTATGTTGGGAACAGAGTGGCACGCATTCGTTTGTTTAGTCTTCCTTCCCAATGGAGGTTTGTCCAGTCAGAGTTTAAACCTGCTGATGTTGCTACCAGCCTGTGCACCCTTCTACTCTTCAAGATTCAAGCTGGATTCGTGGACAGCACAGTGCGCTCAGTACTCCTACCGAGGACTTTGATTTAGTGGATCCGGATCATGATACCGAGATTTGCCCAGATACCTGCAGCAAGACTGACACAGCAGATGTCACACAGTCAAATTATGAGGCAAAGCCTTTAACTTGTCAGAAGTGTTTTCTGAAATTCGGTGTATAGAGGATTGGACAGACATTCCGCGTTCTAGTGCAATCAGACCTTTATGTCCAAGGATTGGTGCAGATGGACTGCTACATGTTGGTGGACGATTAAACAAGGTGCCTGTTGATTTGATAAATGATGACATGCGCAAACCCCATTATCCTACCGAAAAACAACCACGTCAGTTACCTAATCATACGTCACTTCCACCAGAGGATATTTCATCAAGGCAGACACTTCACAGAGGGACTGTCATTCTGCTGGATTCTGGGTAGAGTTCCAGACGGATGACTGTTTCATTGATAAAGGGCTGCATTGTGTGTCGTAGACGTGGTGGACAGCCAGGATGGCAGCATAAGCAGATCTTCCGGAAGATCGTTGTAAACCGTGTCCGCCATTTTTTTTTATGTGGGTGTCGACACTTTCAGCCCATGGTCTGTTGTGTACCGTCGAACCAGGGGTGGAAGTTCAAGTCAGAAACGTTGGGCTATTCTGTTTACCTGTTTTGTGACTAGGGCCATTCACAATGAGGTTATTACATAAACTGTACATTTTACAATTGCAATGCACGTATGTGGAAGCTGCGAATTGATAGTCTAAAGGTCTTTAAATCTTGCCACAAGCTGTAACGGACACACTAAAACACACACAAGTACATACGCAGCTAGTTGCGCGATTGGATAGCAAGCCGGCTAAAAGAACGATCCTCACGAATCGCATTTGCATCTCTCACTCAACGAACAAACTGCCAGAAAAGTTGTTGGCATTATTCATTAAAAAGGAGTTGATAAAAATATAACCTCAGAATCATTTGCAGGCAAAATAAACATAATGCAATCGCAAATTAATCCACTGGAGAACGCCTAGATGATATGGAAGAGTATTCCAGAAGGAACTGTTACATAATAACTGGAATCCCAGAAATAACATAAGAGAATACGGACGAAATTACCACGAGAGGTAAGTATAGCGTTTTTACAATCTAGTCTATTGCTGTTGTTAGAGGACGTCGAAGCCAATCCAGACCTCTGCGAAGGAAATGATTATTGATTGATTGATTGTATATTGTTTAACGTCCCTCTCGAGAATTTTTCACTCATATGGAGACGCCGCGAAGGAAATGAACGGAAACTGCAAATAATTGGAATTTTTCTAGTCCAAGGTGCATAACTCTGTCAAAAATGGTTCGATTGTAGCCAATTGGCCTAGATATTGATATGATAAATCTGTATACTAAATTTCATTTCAGCATGAACAACGGTTGCGAAGATAATGTATATACCTGTGATGAGACCTTTCTAAATTTGCTGTTTTTCGACCTCTTGACCTTGAAGTTTAACCTACTTTTTAAAAACATTGCTCATAACTATTGAATGAAAAGAGGTAGGGCTTTCATAATCAAATCTATTTTGCCTTTGACAAAACCTTCCTAAATACGCTATGATTTTTTACCCCGTGACCTTGACCTTGATGTTTGACCTACTTGTCACAAGCGTTAATTTTTCCTTATAACTATTGATTAAAAAGAGATAAGGCTTTCATATTTGAGTATATTACTCAATCCACAATAGATCAAACAAAAAAAATTTCAAACAAAACACTAAAAAAAATCTCAGAAGCACATTGTGTAACTGAAAAAGATGTAATTATAAGTACATTGAAGATTAGTTCCATTTAACAATTAATTGTTTATGTTCGATCATGTTTTTTTTTTTGAATTATTAAATATTTAATATAGAATTGGTACTTTTAAAAGAAAAAAATATAAATATGCATTTTAAAGACATCAAAGGAGGGGGTCATCTGGCATACATATACGTGCTCTCCGTATTACCAACAATTAACACCATGTACTTCTGATAAAGGTCATCTATGAAAGAGGCTTCAAATTTACGTAAGAAAAAAGTATTAAGCGTATAAAAATTGAAAGACTTCTTTGTAGGGGGGGGATAAAAATAGATAAGTAACTATGATAAATTTTATTATTTTCATTAAATTTCATGTTTAAAAAAAATGTTTCATTTATAGAAACAGAGAAAGAACTTACCAAATTTGCAAACCAGGCATACAGCACGGTATTAAAGGATTTTACTGAGAAGACAACATCAGTTCCAGAGAGACCCTTCAGTTTTAAAATTCGGTGAAGAAAAAGTAAGGGAAAAGAAACAGGGCTCAAACAGACAAAATAAAGGACAGCAAAGAACAGGAAGAAGCCCCAAAAAGAAGAAAAATGATGTGCCCAAAAACCCTTTAAAAAGGAAAAGGAAAGAAGGATGGATCTAAATAACTAAGCCCTAGAAAAAGAAAAGGTGATGAAAATAAAACTCCCGCCAAAGAAAAAAATTGAAAGAAGAAAATTGAAGGCACAGCTGCAAAGAAATCAGCATTGTACATTTCCGATGTATTAACTCAATTGATTCATTCGCCTGTGCCATTCACAAGAGTAGACCGAGAAACACTGGAAATTGTGAGACATCCGCCTTCTGTGGGTGAGGAGCAAGAAATGATGCTGCCAGCCTGGATACCACAGGTTGCTGCGGCAAAAACCCCCTGAAAAAGAAAGAGAATATTTGGGGGTAATAACTAGGGTTCCTTAACATTTAATGAAGTTAAACCTCTTGAAGTAGTATAAAAATATCTAATTACATATTTTAGGTACATTTGCGTGGAAATCCGGTAAGGGGTTTACCTAAAATCCTGTCAAAGTAATCAGCTTAATTTACTCATATTTAATTCTCTATATTATAGTAAAATTCTTTAAAATATTTTTTATATGAAGTAAAAAGTTATAAAACTAGTTTCTATATACTGTGATAAGTCTTGACTCGATTCTGAAAACAAGTATAGTCTAAGGGGAGTAACTCTAATTTCTGAACATGATCGTTCCTGGATGCAAGTGATCAGATCCAAAACTGGTTTCGACAGGTGTGATGCAGACTCCCAGAGACCTCTCCATATGCGGAAGACAAGTGAGATGTTTAATACAGCATATGAAGAACATGGGGGGACCAGTTCAGGCTGTGACGGCAACCTGACCTAGGACATGGTCTCCGAGGAGAGTGTGGCCTGTGTACGGCTGAAATGCAGCGGGTACCCTTAAATGTCGTTAACGCACAACCTCTAGGTGGAAAAGCAATCCAACCCCAAAGGGGAAAAAAAGCAGGAACAATAAACTATGGACTAACGTAGGTCTAAGTCAAACTCCCATTAGCAGTTCATCTCTATTGAAAATTCTCATGCCACCAACATTCCACGTCCAGCCAGTCTTCATTACAAAAATCAGGTAACCCCGTCATGCAAAATGAAGTTACCCTAAACAAGTGTGAAATGAAAAGAAGATGCCAGAAATTAGTTAATATTCATAAATTGCAGGGCCCCCAAAACCAAAAATACAGGAATTCAGAGCGATGTGATGTACAATAACTCCCTCTACTCTTGGGTGGCGGAATCCCTCTTTCAGCCCACCACTTGCATCGTCTTCTAAATTGCAGAGGACGTGACCAGTAGTCACGAGATATTTTTGCTAGTGACCAAAAACAAGATATGCCCGAGCGACAGCACCTCAAGAACTACTAGTATCCAAGCCATGTGTGCACTTAGCAGACAAGTGAGGCAAATATACGACATGACTAAAACATTGGTGACCAATTCACATGGGCAAAAGAGGACATAGAAGACCTCAGGAATGATTTAAATTTCAAGGACATTACCTCAAACCCTGACAGTATTATATCCAAGGCCACAGAGTCTTTGTATGCCGAGGGCAAACTATCAACAACGACATTTTGTTGACACTCGGCATCTTGCTGAAAATGCCAGAAAGGCCATCAAAAAAGATGAATTATTACAGAAAATTAGGCCTAAAAATACTAAAGCTGAAAGAACCAAACTGCTGCATAACTTTACTTTAGATTTTACAGACAGATGCAATTCTGAAATAAATCAGGCACAATTAAAATGCACAGGTCATCCAAGCAAAATTAACTCTACTATGTGAATTATATAATTTGCTGCTACATGGGTGGACATGCTTTATGCAAACACACTCTTTAGTATGCAAGGGTGGAAAGAAACAATGGCTTACTAAAAGTGCTTACCTTGATGGTAAGTTCAAAATTCAATACTCCAGGGCCAATGCAAGGATTCTCAGGACCTGTGTCAAAAGGCCCCGTCGGTGCTAGACAAATCCATTCTTAATACCAATGTTTACCCATAATGGAACAATACGCAAATACGGAGTGAAACTTGCAAAGCGAGTATATCAAAGCGACACAAATTTACCTGGGTGTTTAAG